ACGCATGTACGCCAAATATCGATTGACTGATGGCTACCTATACAAGAAGGGCAGGCTATGTGTCGGTAATAGGGCGTTTAGGTGACAGTTGCTAGAGGAACACCATGACTCGAAACTAGCAATGCACCAAGGCATAGAGAAGACTTACCATACCCTGCGCATGGCATACTATTGGCCCAACATGTTTGATGACATCCGCGAGTACATAAATTCCTGCAACTCATGTCAGAGAACCAAGAATGATGCCAACAACTATGGTCTGCTTCAGAGTTTACAGCAGCCTATGGGACAGTGGACTGACGTATCGATGGATTTTGTAACTCAGTTGCCATTGTCAGGCGGCCTGTATGATGCTATCTACGTCGTTTGCGACCGGCAGACAAAGATGATGCATTGCGTCGCTACTACAACTTGAGTCACAGCTCCCGAAGTTGCGCAACTGTACATCAAGAAAGTATTTGTGCACCACGGTATCCCAAAGTCGATTGTATCGGACCGTGATCCCAAATTTACATCGTCTTTCTGGAAGAGTTTCGTGAAAATACTCGGTATCCAGTTACGCATGAGTACTGCAGCCCATCCGCAGACTGATGGACAGACCGAGGTTGCCAATCGGTCTATCGAGGCCATGCTACGCCATTTCGTAAATAGTCACCAGTCGGACTGGCATACATACCTCCCATTTGTCGAATTTGCTTTCAACTCTAGCTGTAACTCATCCACCCGTGCGACGCCTTTCCTGTTGAACTACGGGTATGAACCACAAGGACCATCGGTGAGCGTCCACAGCAATGACGAGCATAATCCCACAGCAGCGAAAAAGGTCAAGATGATGGCTGAGATCCTACATGCAGCACGAGAGAATGTGGAGCTAGTCCAAGCTAAGTCAGCAGCTTACCATGACAAGAACCGGTCTGAACTCAAGCTACGCAAGGGGGATAAGGTGCTCATAAAACGTACTTTGGCCACTCCTGAGTATTTGGCTGCCACGCATCAAACGTCATTGGGCAACAGATGGATTGGACCATATGAGGTCGATAGAGTGGTCGGTGCTAATGTGTACAAACTGAAACTGCCAGATTCGATGAGAATCCACCCAGTAGTGTCAGTTACATTTATACGTTGGTACATTATGTCAAGTCGATTCCAGAGAAAACATGACGAAATGCCGGAGGCCAAGCTCATTGATGGTGAAGACGAGTTTGAGGTTGAGGAGATCTTAGCGCAATGAACGAGGAAGGGAAGTGTCAAATACCTAGTGAGCTGGAAAGGATATCCAAAGAACTATAACACTTGGGAGCCGGAGGAGAACCTGATCAATGCGAAGAAAGTGATGAGGAAATATAGGAGCGATCAGAATACGGGCTCAGGCCTGGTTAGGGAGAGTGTTGGATAGTATTTATTTAGTCGGCCTGTTCCATCCGTTTAAGGGACGCCATCTAGTGGATTAGCTGATTGGGATTAGGAGTGACGCTAGATGATGTAGCATTTATAAGTGTGCATGACGGCGCACTAGATGTTGAATGGTTGCTGGAGTTAGCTTAACTCTGATTTTTATTTTTATTCTTTATTATAACATACTTTATTTCTACTATCTAATAATGAGCATCTGAGTTGCATTCTTGTGCTGGCTTATACTCAATTGCCCTCATAGCTGCAGTAAACTGGGGCAAGTCAGCTACAGCGAATGGTCTGTCTGGGAGCATCATCCCATTTTTGATAGCCACTGTAAGCACATGCCAGTCTTGCATTTTTGGCAACTGTAGGATTGACAGATCACATCAATGAGCAATCTCACATTTCGGTCACATGACCAGTCCACTGCCTAATTGAATGATACTCTAATGTCAATGACTAGTGCTACTGTGCCATGACTTAGGTTATTTAGGAACAGTGCATGGCACACTGGCTTAGGTTTCTTTAACTCACTTCTTATATCTTTATTATTTATTTAATACCAGACATTAGAATGGTGACTTAGGCTAATGCCAAATAAGCTAGATACTACACATCTACACCAATAGCTCATCCAGTGCAGACATATTAAGCTTGGGGGGTGTGCTCAAGTCAGAACTGGGCAAATTGACAATAACTGGTCCAGAATCACCATTGCTGCACATGCCAATGCACACAAGATACTCTACTTGGATCACATGGATTTTGACAAGAATCACTTCATACTCAGCAAAGGGCTTTGGCTTCAGGTCAGACAACTTTTCATAATCCTCAAGCATGGGAATTTTGGCATCCATAAATGCCTTGACAACCTTGGCAAATGTTGCATTATCATCCATAAGACAAAAATTAAAATAAAAGCCAGGACAGGTGTGCTTGGCAGTGGGCAGGGTCTTGACAGCAAATGCTCTCTTGAAAGCAGAGTTACAGAGATCCTGGATGGTCAGAGAGATTTCATCATGGTCATATGACAAGATTGCTGGACAAGTCCATCTATGTGAGTATGATATATGTAGTGATCATGATTATGATCAAGGAATATCTAAAAGTGCAGTCCCAGCAGTTCTTATCTTTCATTGGAGTTTTCCTTAATTTATTCTAATTTATTCTTTTATAGGTCAATCTAACCAACATAACATATATGCTTCTCCTTGGCCATAATATTGGGAATAAGGAATAGGTCAATGTATGATACATATGTCAGGGTGGCCTGATCAATGACCTGTATGCTACTGGATTCCCTCACACTGCTTGGGTGGTCTGTAACCTTGACATCAATATCACCCTTGGCACCATTAGTATTTTTGGCTTCATTGGAGTTATCCTTGAGTGTGTGTGAATATGTAAGGTGATGGTATTCCTCCAGGTCAAGACCATCAAACTCAACCCCATCATCAACAAGCTCAAGGTGAGAGCATAGTTGCCAAACACAGTCATGGCTCCATTCAGGCTCAGCTTCCCCAGTTCTGGCCCAGTTACAAACCAGTGGAGCAATGTTGAAATCCCCACCAACTATGATAGTCCAACCCTTGCTTTGATAGCAAAAAAGTAGTGAAAGGAGTGCCTTGAAAAAGCCACCCCTCTCTTTCCCAGCAGTCAGTGGCCCATGAATGTTGACTAGGAGTAGCCCAAACTCCTTGACAGTAACTAGTGTCTGACAGCTCAAACTAGTCAACAACTCCAACTCTGCACCTGCAAAGTGGCTATCCCAATGACAGCAGACTAAGATGACAGTGTCATATACTGCAGTTGGAGAAATAGTCTTGGACTATTGAATAATAAAAAAGTATTGACATAATTTAGAATGTGAATAATCAGAATTGGCATTTCATACAAAGTCTGCAATATGCAGTAGAAACTTATCTTGTAAAGGTGCCCTTTACTGCCAATAAAGAGCCTATATTCAGGTAGACTACTTGCAAACAAAGTAGGAAACACCTTGCCACACTTTAGCTCTTGAAGGTAGACAAAATCTGGTTGTGGGTCAAGGTCATAAATGCACTCCTTTAAGTGGGTAAGCTTAGATGTGTGATAGCAGCCACTTGTCCCAATACCATGCAAATTTTGGCTCATAAAAGTCATGGAGGGGAGGGGAGTAGCATCATGCTCAGCAGGAAGGATGCCATTGGCAAAAATTGGCTGCATCCCAAGAATGTCAGAGCCAGGCAGGGGTTTGTAAACAAAAACTGACATATAAAATGGAATAAGCATAGTAAGTTCTTGCCTGTGGTGTTAGTAAAAAAAATAGTATCAGGGTGTGATGCAAAGTAAGTAAAACTCAAACTTTATAAGCTAAAAAAAGAGAGTAGAAAAGAAAGCAATAACTACTAGCTCTCATCTTTTAAAAGAAAGGCATCACTCCACTCTCCTACTTTAGACACTCTCCCTATTAGATAGTAAAATAGAGCATGTTTGTAATAAAGAATGTAAAAAACAGAGTTAAGCTAACTAGAGAAACCATTCAACATTTAATGTGCTGTCATGCACACTTATAAATGCTACGTCATCTAGCATCACTCCTAATCCCAATCAGCCAATCTGCTTGATGGCATCCTGTAAATGGATGGAACAGGCCAACTAAACAAACACTATCCAACACTCCCTTTCTAAACCAGCCAATGACTACTCCAGAGGAGGGTCTGATGGTCCATCAGCCCATCAGTCCATGTGTGTACAAATCAGATCCACCATGATTTACTAATATTCCTTTCAATTTACTATGAGGGTTAAGCACATCTGTGCAAATGTCCAAAAAACTAAAGACTATCCTGAGATTTCATAGTAGAGAGCAGATTGTAAGGTTCTGAATTTTTTGGGTGGGATGGTTTTGCTGTGTTTAGATACATATTCTCCACAGAAGTAGAGAATATGTGACTAAATACAATAAAATTGGATCACACAAAAAAAGGCAGAACCCAAGGGGACCTTGGGTGACAAGGAACCTTTTAAAAAAACTATAGTTTTTGTAGCCACTCATGTCTTTTCATGCTGCTAGAAACCTAATAATGTTCAAAATATCACCTGAATTGCAAATTACTGAAATCACAGCCACGTTTAGAAAGAAAGTTGGTAATTTCAGGTATCAAGATGACCCCCTATATAAAGGTCTGCACCTCAGCAACCATAGAGTAGCTATTATTGATCACCTTTATGCTTATAGCTTTTATTTATTTAAAATATGAGATGTAAGGAATGGTGAACATTGGCATTCTGCCACTAGCAAAGTCACACATACTAAACTACAACTGTGCTTTTGCAATAGAGGCAGAGTAGAGTAGTGTAGCTAATCAAAGACTTTAAGTGTCAATAAATAGTATATGGAAAGGTTAATGAAAAGAAATGAACTTACCCAGTCAAATGTGCACTATATCCAAAGTGTAAAACAAAACAGTGCACTGTGAAAACTAAACTGAGCAGAATCAAGAAATAGGACAATAGAACTGAGATTCAAAAAGGAATATTTAACAATTACTAACACTGTCAGAGAAAATATTATACAAGAAAAATATTACCAATAATGAGAAAAAGAAGAATCAACAAAAAGTTGCTTGGAGTGGGATTTGAACCCACGCCTCTCACGAGACCCGAAAGCTCTTTCCTTGAGTCGGGCGCCTTAGACCACTCGGCCATCCAAGCTGTTTTTTGAGCTAACTCTCAGACTTTTTCATGTTTGGATCCTACTTGGTACGTATGTAAGTGAAAGCCAATGCTACCTGCAATAATATTGTGCCTGCTTAGAATCAGTGCCCCCCTCAACATCTGGCTTTGAGTGACGCTTCTCCTAGCTCAAGGACTATATAGAGAAACCTGATTTTATCTGAGCATAGGCAATCTATCGTATGTTCTTTGGAGATGTGAAGCATTAGCCTCAATGCTTAAAAATTGTGCCAATAAAGCAGCACACTGTCTTTTTTGTTCTGGTAGAATAAGTCATCCACATTCCTTTGTTATTCAATAGGTACACGCTTTTCACCATTCCATTTCCTTTATTATTAGTTTATACTTTCAACTTATAACTGTATTATATACCAACTAGTCGCTATCAATTGCACAATTATTTTTGACAGTTGCTCGACATGGCACCACCAAATGGTCATATCCTAACTGGAAGACCAGGATGCCAAGCACTTGTAGCCGCTAGGCCTTGAGACCATCAAGCCCCACAGCTGGAGAAATTCAGTGTCTTCAGCACGCTGTCCAGCGGCAAGTATATTTTAAAGAGTTGCTACTCCATATCATGGGCGAGATTCCCTGTACACATGCTATTGTGCTTACAACATCCTCAAAGGAACATCAATAGTCGAATGGCTCAACACCAGTATACAGGTCACCACAGACCTGACAATAGTTGTGATTAAACCAAGTTTTAACATAGGCATTATTGCCATCTCTACAGACAAAGAGAGTCAAGAACATCTGTGCAGGAAGAGTTCTTTAGCTAATTTTTGGCGTATCTTTTTATTATATTCTATAACGTCCAAGTCACTAAAAAGATACCAACATTGGAGCTATCATGGTAAAAAAAAAATGGATATTGTTTATTGAAACTAGTTCGTATATTATCATACAAAAGACTGTTGAAGAAAAGTACTAGCTACAGGTTATTTCGTAAGAAGAAAGGCCATGGGGCAGCATATTGGGCAATAAGTTAAAAAGTGAATAGGGCGCGAAAATCGGCAAACCCACCTTGGAAACAAAGAGGGGTAAGCTACCTTGCCTATCTCTAAACTGGTTTACCACTAAAAGTTAAAAGTGCGATATGCCTTGATACGACTTGCCGTTTTAATGAACTCCCCATCTCCAAGTATGTCAGCCAAGACGACTGTCTTGCACGATGAGTCGCTGTAGTATTTGGTCACACCACCTGTGGATGATGCCTCATTATTAGGGCCATGGAACTTGCGGCCAACACGGTGACAGTAGTCGTCATTGGAGTAGTAAGTCTCTTTTTTTCCATCTGCGTTTCGAAGAGTAATTTCACGAGTAGCATGGCAAAGCGCCAAGATACAGCTGAGGATGGCTAGAATAACAAAGAAGCGCATGACTATGATTTTGAATTGAGTTTAAATGCGGTGAGCCTGAGTGAGTGTAAGTGCAAATGTTTGAGGTGAAGATGGTGATAGGATAGCGTGTGAATTTGTAGATAATTTTTTGACCAAGACAGCAGCAGCTGAGTGGAACTTTATACCAAAACCCGAAAGCAATTGAGTAAAGTCAGACTCTAGAAAAATTGGAGAGAAGTGGGGTTTCAGAGGAGGGAGCTTTGTAGGCATACAAAGCACAATGTATCTACTTTGTGTGACACGGATACCTTGTACCCTTTGCGTGCAAAGGTCAGTAAAGGGTACAATTGGAAAACCATGATCTCTAAAGACTACAACGACATAATAAAGAGCAAAAACTCCTGTGCTTGGCTTTTAAAATGTGTTTTAAAAGAGCACCACTTTCCTTTCCCTACAAAGACTAACGACATGTAAAAGAAGCTAAAAATAAAAGTTATCTTCTAGTTATTTCTATTATGCACCTTTCGAACACACAGTTCTCATTACAAAGAGGGAGAGAGAGAGAGAGAGAGAGAGAGAGAGAGAGAGAGAGCATGGAAAAGCGTTTAGACTTTTGGCAGAACACTCTTAGTACTTACGCTTAGTATCATGCAAACCGTCCTTTGGTAATTGATCCAGCGAGATTCAAGGAATCTATGTTTTGGACAGCTAGTTTCTTTTGCACAGTCGTGACTTTAACGAAATAGGCGATGGCGTATTTATTCTCATGAATCGCAAATTCGTTTCCATCCTGTCTGTGTGTACAGCATGTGGGAACTCATCAAGGTTGTGTGACTTGCCGGCAGATGATTTGGAAGCAGTTAGTCCATGTTGGCCGCTTCGGGCAAGCGGGGGAGTGGACATGCTGATCTTCCGTCCACCTATTCAGTTTGCGTCGGCTTGCATAAGTGTTGCTCTGCCGAGTGCCCTTATTCCGACCCCATACCGGCGTGTGTAGATGCACCCACATGGCTCAAACAAGCCATCACTTTGACTTAAACACGCGTGTAATGGAATGAGCGAGGCGGATCTGCCAGGAAGTACTGCCGCAGATGGTCAGAATTGAAAATACGCTTCTTGACAGAAGACGTGTGTATGAGAAATCGTATTGGACTAGTTTCATATTATTTGTGAGATACTTTAGAATTATAAGCTACACATATTCCGCCCTTGTCTCATAGAGACATAGGTAGGAGCTCACCTGCTAATGATAATCAACGATATCTTTATCCTGTGTTCTTCCCAGAAATGTCTCCTGAACGGTTCTTGGGTAATAGATGAGTAGCCACAAATGTGACAGAAAAAAGTGTCCCGACTTTCAAGATTGGTATCTTGCATGTTTAGCGCAGAAATTGTCGAATAATTAAACGAGTCGTTGTAAGAGGCAATTGTTGTAGGTGATAAAAGAAAGTGGTTGACGTATTCTTGCAGTATCGTCAGAGAAGGAATGTGTCCTTTAAATAGGAAAATGATTATATGTGCTTTCATCCTGGTAGACTTGCGACAATAGTCAAATGTCAGGTGAGTACTCCCGCATTATCAGGCGTCATGTCATATGAACACCTCAGTGCTCCTTATCAAAATATGAGCCGAAAATAAGTTCTCACCAAGCATATCGAGGTAATGAGATATTATTACCACACACTCCAATTAATATAGCGAGTACGTTCTCTTCCAGAATTGCGCATAGCTACAGGTGAATCCAACTGGTCATCTTAAAGCGGCTCTTCCCTCACGAGCCTACTCAATGTCCACTCTTAGATATATTCCACACGTAGAGCGTACAGATACTCTTATTTTTATTGAGTATAGATTGTCAGTAGTTTATTGTCAAGATGTTGCAAATCTTAATAGCTGAGACGGACAGGCAGGCACGATTACGTTGTCACGAGGAATAATGGCACTTTTTTCAGCTTATGTTCAAAAATCAGTGTAATTCTATCTGAAGCAGTTCCCCCAAACTTCATTCCACACGTTAGGCAAGTAAACTCCTGCTTGCTATCTGGTGTAGGGGGCTTGTTTCCATAGTCTATACTCGGGTATTGTAAATGTCGCCAGAGATAGTGGCAGATGGGTTATATAAAATGATAGACTCTAGTACTATTCGCCTAATCTAGGGATGGGTAGCCTCATTATTTTATACCAGCTTAGCGCCATCTCATAGCTCAATATTATGCCACCTTCTTAGCAACCGTAGCGGACTCACGTTTGGTTTCCTTTACAAACAATAAACGTCATTTCGCCCTCTCTATTCCTGGAAACTGTGGGGTTTCTTATTCATGCAATAGAGCAGCCTGATGATCCCCTGACTGTCTGCACGTGGAGCAAAGCAGATGGGCAATTGTGACATGGAGGCAAACCTCTATGCCCACCCGCACAACAACAGCGATGATACAGGTTGAATATATGTCTAATTGTTCTCATTCCTTCTCGCACAATAAGCAAGCATATGCAAAATGGCTCGTGTGCTCTATACTATCGCTCTTTGTCTGCATACACTGTAATCACTTAGACATGGTAAACCTACAGCGGAATACTTCGAGTCAGACACATAATGCAGCCATTATAAGATCTTTTTAGGAGTATATTTGGTGAGATCCACACTATTTCATAATTTGTAGGTGTAGACATGGCTTGAGTGCACAGTGGTATGTAGTATCTATGTTTGATATATTTGTGCTCATAATCGCTGTCCAGTACGTAGATTTATTGTCGATAGATTTAAAACAAAAGAAAGGTGTACGTCCTAGCTATTTGGGTGGTTTGGGGGTAGATTACTCCATTGACCATTTGAGACAGTAGCGATCATGGATTTCCAAACCTTTTTTGGTACTGAAGTCTCGCCCACATCGGCCACATTTCACCCAGTTAGTATCGCTAGTAGATTTATCCATAGACCATTTGCAGCAAAGGGGAACATGTGTGTTTAAACCTTTCTCGGTTTTGTAGGCACAACTGCATAGGTCACATTTAAACATGTTAGGGCTAGGCGACTTGAGATTCTGATAGTCGCTGGGCGTTGATACGGAGGCAGTTGGGCTGCTAGTGATAATGGAGAAAGAGATGTGCACTTTTTGCAACTGCTTAAGGAGTGCCGGCGACCTCCAGTCATTTTATGTCAGCCCAGTGCTCTAATTTAGCAATTGAAAAATTTTGGAACTTGCCTATCGCCCCATGACCACCACGAAATCCACTTCACCCATCAGACATTATGATGGTAATCGCTCTACACATGGATAGTACAACATGTATCCATTGCAAGAGCCATGCCTTTGGTATGGATGGGTGCACCCCTCGCACCCTGTGCCACCCTCAGTGGTGTCATAGTTGGTGGTGGATGGAGGCAGTCAACATATTTGGAGCGCCCAAAAGAGTGTAGAAGGACTACCTCGCGGGGAGTCTGTTTATGCATAGCAATCTGCCCAATCCCTTGCCCATCTTCTACCGTGGTCTAACTTCTGTTAAGGGCAGGACTCTACCCAGTCTGGTTATCGCTGGGGCGCTACATCACATAACTCTTCTACTTTTGTAGGAGTCATGGTAGCGTTCAAGCATTACAGTATAAATTGACCCCTACGGGGAATTTGTATGGTA